TATATATATGTATATATATATACATATATATAAAAACACTCTTTTCCACTCAAACTGATTTAAGAGGCTAAGGATCAATACCTTATGTTCACGTCATAAAAATCTCAGCATAATGAGATACACTGACAACAAGTCTGGAATTGCCATCTGCGATATGAGGGAGGAATATAAATCTCTGCTTGATGTTTGTACAGCAGGTGAGGTAAAACTGTGACTCTGTTTATGACAGCAGCCTGTGTTATAATGGGAAATATGAATCTAAAAATACTGGCAGTCAGGACCAGGGTCTTGACCTAGACGTCCTTTACAGGATCAGAACCGAAGGGATGAGAAAAATGAAAAAATATATATATGTAGTTAATAGTAGTTTTGTACTACCCTGGGGCAAGACAAAAGATGCCTCAGAAAATACGCATTTTATTCTGTATCTCTCTGTCCTATTTTGCAGACATTGGGAATTTGATGTTTAGTAAAATTAAGCTTCTTACAAAGAAGCAAATTGCACCTGAGAGACTAAAGTAAAGTTAGAACCACTGGCCTGGAGACAAATTCTTAAGTGCCTAAAAGAAAGACAAAACACACGTCGGATCTTTGAGCCGTGTGAACGTTGGTAAAAGGAAGTAGCCCTTTGCTGCTGTTTTTACAATCTTGAAGATGTGAACAGAAGTTATACAAATAAAACACCCAGTGTGACGTGGCTAACATGGCTCTACCTGTGCATTTATCTGAGCATTTGGTAATACCAGAATGGTACTTTGTCGTTTCTATTTCAGACAGTGGAGTTCTTAGTTTGACCCAGGCTGCGCCGTGGAGTTTAAACACTGAGAACAACTGGCAACCACTGCAGTTATCTGCTTTTCTGACAGGTCATAAATTACTTTCTGTTTTATTTTGAAAAAAAAAGTGTTTCATCTTACTGGTGTAAGTTCCTGATGTTAAAATTATCTAAAATATCAGGTGTTTTTTGTTGTATTGAACGTTGAGTTCCAGACCCACTGTGTCAGTCGAGACTTGTGGTGTATTTAAATCCTGGGCACAGTTTTCTTTCTTTCTCAGCAACTACAGCACGACAGACACTGGAATTAATTTATCTTCCTCCTAATGCGTTGACTACACTTTTACCTGGCATTTTGTACATTGACCCAAATTACTGCTGGGTTAATTTCTTTACAGAGGACAGAGAGCGAACCATGCTCTCTATGTTGGTGAACATTATTAGCAGCATTTTTCAACTGGAATGTCACTAGATTTATGTGAAGCCGGTAAGTCCTGAAAGGTTGTTGAGTCTAATGACAAAGTCAAATGAAGCCTAGAAACTGAAGCTCTGCTCTGGAGTTTGATGTTACCATCCCACACTCCTGGGACCAGAGAGATCTGCTTCAGTGTTCCTCATTGAAGACACCATGACATGGATGTGCAAAACTTCACTAGTTCATTCACCGACAAGGAAGGAGAATTTTCCAGGATAACTTTAGCATTTCCATGATATTTGACTATTTCTTTTTATTATTTTCCAAATGTATTTTATGGAAAAAATGTCATTCGTTGTTCTGGTATTTTAAGGATATGTGGGAACCCTGTCATGGAGTCAGTTTAGAATTGTACAGTATACCAACTCTTCTCATTCTTTTCCAATCTCCCTGCCTACTGGTTACATGGTTCATGAATTCAGTTAATAACTCTTTAAATGTGAAATCATGTAACCGTGTCAAAGACATGTGCAGACAGTGCTCTCTTACCCATCAGGTCTCAGGTCTGGTATTGGTCTGTGTAAGGAGAGGCGATCGCTGAGGTAGCCATTATAGCCATAATACTGGAACATCTTCAGCGCCACTCTCCTGTTGTCTGGACTCAGATCCTGACCCCAGTGAGTGAAGAGTGAAGAGTCAGAGAACGATGTGTCCTCCTGACCATCCTCTCCTCTGCCTGGAGCCTCTGTTACAGGGAGACAAATAGCATCAGTGTTTGTCAAAGCCCCAGTTTCTCACCCTGCTGCCGAGGGAAAAGTGACATTAGACGAAAAGGAGAAAAAAAAGTATGAATACGATTCAAAGATAAAGACTGCTTTCCTCGTACCACTGCAAATGTTGACAGGTGACAGGCGGCATTTTATCTAAGAGAATGTCCCTAAGAACGTCCTTTGACAGAAAGTCTAGGAGTTAAAAACACACTGCTACAGTGTCCTTCGACAAAACATTCATCTCCTACGGCAGGCTTTTCTTCCTGACCTACACAGAGAGGCGGACGAGATGTTAATTTCCCTGAAGGTATAATTAGAATCTGACCAACCAGTTAATCATGTTTAAAAGTGTAACTCCTAACATGCGTTTTACGACAGAGCAGCACAGAGACAGTAAACAAACCCAGGTTTACTGTGTCAGACCGTGTATTTATGCGTACGGTCGTATTGATGGAGTCAGTTCATGTTCAGACTCCATAAAAACCTGCAGCAATCCAGTCCTGCCTCTGAGATGTTGTTATGCACTTTAGAGGCTTTAGCATCTTAACTGTCAACAGAAAGCTCCGCAGCTTCAGCCACAGGCTTAACATTTAAATGTCAAACCAGATAAAAATGAAGGGGTGGCTTCTCAAAAAGTGCATTTACAACTTCCCAAACTGCACAGGCAGAGACGTCAGTGTCTAACTCTGGATTTAAGTTTGCTCTTTAAATAAAAAAAATAAAAAAATGCAAACAACATAAAAGCTTTCCGCAGCGCTTCAATTCAATCCAGCCCTTCCACTGATACCCACTACCTTTTGCTGTGTTATGCAAAGGTCTGCAGAGCTTAGACTAACCATTAGCGTAGAGCTAAAAGGTTGAGGGAGAAAATGAAGTGTAATATTGGGATAATATTTTTGTGGAGAATGAAACAAAGAAGAAACCGAGTGAGAGTCATCTAAGGAAGGGTAGGTGAGCGAGGGATGGGTTACCTCCTAAAATGACTTGGGCGGTCACTTATCATATGTAAAGTCTTCTGGGTAACATGTCTGTTTTGGGGAAGGCATCATTTGTACTCCTCGAGTACAGTACTGTGCATGTACTGCAGGGGGTTATGCATCATGGAAATACAGCAGTGACTCTTTATGATATGTCACAACACAGGAAGTCGAAGACGAATGAATGAATGAATATTTTAGAAACAAAGGGATTCCGAGTCTCTGTGTCCGAAATTGAGAGAGTTGAATTGATTTGAGAATATCTCTTCTTCAAACACACACGACCTCACCTCCAAATTTACATCATCTTTGAGAAAAAACACTTTGTTCTGTGGAAACATTGCCGTCGACTGCTCATGTGTTCTGTCTACACGTTTGATGCCACTGTTGGAGGTGTGGAACCACAGCTTGGAGTCTGGTTGTCAGTGGAATTGAGGAGTTGAGTTGCAAAGTCAAGGCAGCCGTGCTCAGCGGAGACAATGTTGCTCAGCGGAGACAATGTTATTTGCATGAAAAGCAAAGTGTCATCGTACAGGAAACCTACGGCTGTTTATATTTTTGAGGTGAAGCGGGGAATATAAACACACTAACTCTCTTCACCTCTCTCTGTCTTTCCTACAATTTCTCCTCATCTTTATCTTCTCATCATGGAGGATCTGCACTGCTGAGGTCAACATTTGACCTGGTGATTTTCAACCACCAGCGGGGGATAAGTGTGTCACTACTTACTGGAGACTAAACAGTTACAGTGATCCTCTTTGGTGTCCTTAATCTTTCTGACACAAACTGCATCATCTCAAACCTGAAGTAAAAACAGCCCTGTTTTATCAAAGTTACAATTCTTCATCTTTAGAATACAGTGATTATCCCTTAGGTCTCACTTATGACAACACAGGCCTAGACCGCTGGAAGAACAGCTATGGCAGGGTCTCAATTTCCAATGACATCTCATTGAAGCCTGAAAATTACCATCAGGGAGTCCATTTACAATATACTTACACCTATTTGTGGGACACATGGGGGAAGTTTTTGGGCTGGCAAGTGGCCCGCGGGCTAAAAGTTGAGACCTGTGGCTCATGGTGTTCTCCACCGTCTGTTCTCTCTATCTCTCTCCCACACACACATACACAGCAGCAAACAGCTAAATATTTGACTTGTCTAAATGTGCTAGGCCTTATCTGCTCCTGAGCATTTACTGCTTAATGGGTTTGTTTCAGCATAATTCATCATCTACCACTTAATCCTACTGACGACCGCGGGGAGTTCAAACTCATCCTAGCAGTCATCGGGCAAAGGTGGGGTACGTCAGCAGTTCACCCCACGGCCACTTATACTTACAGTCTGTTAGGAGGGTAAAATTAACTTAATTAAATGTACCTTATCTCCAATCTGTATCCAAACTACACATCAGATAAAAGTAGGGATTAAACTTGTAATCTTGTTGCTGTAGGCAGGAGAAGTAACCACCCTTCCATCGTGTGGCTCTACTGCATTATTTTATGCTAAGTGTGTGTCTGTCAAAACACTGACTGAACAGGTCGTATCAACACTCAACACTTTATTTCAAGGTATTTTAAATAGATTGAGGATCATAAAATGTATGATAATTATGTAAATGAAGATATTTTGTACATGAAAGTGAAATACCTTCAATGTAATTAATTTAAGGTGATTAATCTAACCTGATAATGCCAGCCCTGACGGTACAGTCGATGTATTTGCATAATTGTTGAGGACACAAACGGAAAGCTGTTCCTTGGAAAGTAGATTTCATATGCTTCTGCAGATTGTTAGATTTTTTTTTTTAACCACTATAATAATTTAGCTCATTTAGGTCTAAGTGACAGGCACAAGTGTGTTTCCAAAACCCACTAAAAGCACATTAAAGCGATTCATGTAATAAAATAAACCATTAGCATCGTTATAAAACCTCAGCAATGTTGCGGGATGACAAATTGAGTGTGTATTGAGGCTGACAATCTGGATTATTGTACATTCAAAGGCAGATGATGAGGGAAGTAAATAATTATTATTTTAACCAGTGTTGGTTTTCAGCCTTTTCGTTGAAGTGGTTTTAAATCGTTTTCTTTGTGTTGCGTTTGAGAAGCGAGGATGATTCAGAATAAACATGAATAGACACTGATGAATGAGTTTTATTTTCTATCACCGGTAGAAAATGAAGGAGTGCTAAAAACAAACTGGCTATAAACAAACTTTATGAGTGGGACAAGACAAAGACACTGACATCGTAGACCATGTGCAAGGTGTAAATGTGTGTGTGTGTGTGTGTCATAGGCAGAAGTGGTCAACGTTCACAAGCAGATTGTTTTACCATAACGTGATATGACCTTACAAAAAGCGTATGGATTGAGTAGAATACAGTGGTTCTCAAACTTTTTCTCCTCTGTACCACCTGAGAAAACAAAACAACTCTGAGTACAGCCATGATGACCAACATTAGAATATAGCAGCAGAGGCCTTCACTGTTAGCTCCACCACAGGAGAGATGTTTAGAAATGTTTATGTTTAAATGTTGTATTAATTGTACATGGTATGTTCCAGATTTATTCAATCGAAAATGTAAATGTGAAAATATGAATTTTCTTCACGTACCACTAGAGAGCACTTGCGTATCACTGGTGGTACGTGTACCACAGTTTGAGAACCACTTGTATAATATGTATATTTTGATTTTTTTTAATGTAAAGGTTGGGGAAACCTATTATTTTATTTTTTTATAACTAAATTATATATAGTCACAGTTAAAGGAGGAGATACATACAACACTGTTGTCTACTGTGTCCTTCACTAGGACAAAAGGAGGAGGTTCATCTCTCTCGGCTGAACCTGCTCTGTGTGTAAACAACACTATATCTTGTCTGTGAGACAAGACCACAAATTCCAAGTTTACTTTCTACGTGTTGAACTGATGGTTTGACATTTGTATTCTGACCAAAACCAACCTTTACAGTTGTTTGTTTTTTTCTTCAAGAATCCAAAAGGTGTCACTGCTGTTAGAGTGTGTGTATGTGTGTGGAGTATGTGTGTGGAATTGTCAGTACAGAACTCTGAAACCACTTATATTTAGTAATTCTGTCACACT